GTCGTCCAACTGGTCGTCCTCGCCGCCGCTCAGGGAGAAAAAGGGCCGCGGGGGCGGCGGCGGGCGGACTTGGATCCGCGGGGCCCCGCAGGGCAGCCTTCGAAGGGCGTTGTTCTCCAACCACAGGACTCTGACGTTCGTGTACGGCTCAAACGCGGTGGGCGCGATCGCCTCCAGGCCTTTCCCGTGCAAATACAAAATGTCATTGCAGACGGGGTTGCGGTAGTAGCCTTTCCGGACGCACTCTTGGATAATCATCGCCGTCGTGAGCACCGTCTGCTGGGCGGGATCGCTCGCGGGAGGGGCCGCGCCGGGGTTCGGCCTGGTCGGCGGAGGGAAGCTTTGGAGATCTTCCTGAATGACCACGCCGGTGAGTTCGCTTGGCATGTTGGTAAATCGAAATGACAATGGTCTTTTCCTTCTGGGGAGGGGGGGGGGGCGTTAATATGAGAGGAAAAAATGCTTTTCAGGGTACTTTGTAGTGATACAAATTCGCTTTAAACGTTAGGACCGGAAAAAATATAGAAAGCCTGTGAAAGAAAAGTAGTTAAATGTAGAGTAGACATCTATCACTGAGAAAATCCCATTTTTTTTTTTACAAAAGATACCACTTGTGTATGTTCCTTTACAGTTTTTGGACTTGATTATTGAACCATAATATTAGCTCCAGGAATTGCAAACACTAACAAAAAAATGTGAACAATTTGTAAATAATGGTATGAACCCACAATGAATGGGACATATTTTTTATCGATAAATCACCTTTATAAAAGGTTTAGATATATTTATTCGTTAATAGCTTGCTTTGAAATCCATTTTCGTGATGAAAAGCTGTCAATACGATTTTTTCTCCTGCTGTTGCTGATATTCCCTGAGTGAGTTGATCAGCTGGTTGATGGTCGAGGAATCAGCACCTTTGTAGGGCTGCCCATACGATCTAAAAAGCTCCGATAGCGCTAATAAAGCCTCCCGACGTTGGGATACCTCTTCCGCACTCACAAGGGGATCGAACAAGATCGAAAACGCAATCACGCGCGCCGTTCGCTCGAGCTCGTCAACGCCAAAATACCATGCTAAGTTGATCATGAATTCGCTATTCTTAAACGTAGAGCCGCGAATCTTGATGAAGTACCGCAACTTCATATATTTATTTCTCCAACGATGCGGGCAGACTTCTCCGAAGTAGTCCCGCAGACGTGAAAACACAATAAGCGGTAGAAATAATCGTTTGCCCTCATTATGGGAGGACGGAAGGCCGTGAGGGGTGTATTGTGCATCAAAATACTTCACCACACGACGATATTCACTCCCCACGATGTAAAGCACCTCCTTCGAGAGTCCGGTGCGCGATATCGCATGGAGCTGGGCCTGCATTCCACCCTCCCACGATAACGACGCGTTCCTCGACGTTGAAGAAGACGTTTGGCTAAAGTTGACGTCGTCCTTTTTAGCATTCCCTGCGACCCCCCGGTAGTTTTCGACGTAGTTGGCCAATAGTTCATCCCGGCAACGCTCATACATCCGCTGTCGGCGTATTGTGAGCTCCTCTTGCGTGAAATCCATCCCGTCAATCACGCGATGCGAGAACGAGCTAAGAAAGACATCCCCGACGAGTTTTTGAAGCTGGTCGCCACCGAAAATCGCGTGCACGGCCTCGCGCTTTTTCTCCTCCGGGTTCTCGACCCCTTCGGCCCCGACGAGGTCGTATTTTTTTCGCTTCTCCGCCGAGTTCAGCACGCGGTAGGCCT